TAACCAACACCCGGCATCCTTACTGCTATCGATGGGGCTGAACGATGGCGGCGTAGGATAAATGGAGAAGCAGGCAGGCCGTGAGTTCGTCGATTGAGCTTACGCTATTATAGCATTCGAGTGACGAATCCACAGCTTGTCTGTTTTCCTGTAAACGGGTAGAATGGAAACTACAGTTGACTGTTTTTTAAGGACACTGCAGCTGAAATTAGACGGCCGCACGTGGGGAGCTGCAACTGTAACATCAAACGTGGATGTAAAGCGGATTACTTCATGGTTAAGGGATTTGTACGAAGTCCCATTTGAAATAAACGTCCACCGTAAAATGGATTATATCACTTACAGCGCATGCTAAGTGTTTGATAACCTACCTTTAGTATGCACTAGAACCCTTAACTTCAGCCCCAACAATACAGTTGTGGCAGCCAAATACACGAACATCGCCGTTCCGCAGCAAACAATTTCGTTATGTTGCAGTGTCATTTAGCCATCCTTTACCCCTTATAATGGGAAGAAAAACCCCGGCCGTTGGCTGCGCCGTTTATGGTTTCAGCCAGACGGGATGCCACGTTTAGAACGGTGTCGTGTCGCCCTCAAATACTTTGGAGAGGACTAAATGGATAAGGCCGTCGGCGCCAGCCTCTCCGATTTCGCGTAATTTTAAGTGTTGTGTGACCAATTACAGAACCTGTTCCAACCAAATCATCGCATCGACAGATTGTTAAACCGACGGCGTTATTAGTCCGAAACACCATGCCAATTTGCCAATAGGTTGACGACCCTTATCCGATATAAATAAATAAACATAAAAATTGTTTTACTTATGACCGTTGGGGTTCCTATCACAGCAAGTTAAAATAAATTTTCATAGGAGTTTTAGAACAAGTAGACAAACTCTGCACAGTATTCAGTTCATGCTTACTGAATAAGCAGTCTGATGAGAAAAATGCTTAGCGAGCAGTGGAATAACTCCTTTATCGAATAAACAAAATGAATGTGATCGTATTAACTTTAAAGGAGAAAAAACCGTCGCTCTTGAATGTATAAGAATGCCGGCAGGACCGGTCTGCACGTGATATTATATAACGAATTCTTAACTGTCATTGTCAGGGCAGAATTCATACACCGGATGAAGCAATTCGGGTAAAAGTGGCGAGACGAGAGGAATTCAGACGCGATCGGTCACAGTACGCTTTGAGTCCACCCGAGGAGACGGCATAGGGGATATGACAATGAGATCTCTTTGCTGACCGACCAAACTACTAGCAGACGGCGAAAACAGAGGATTCTGCCGAGAGTGTCGACAGGCCACTTGAGGGCAAAAACGAGAAAATGACACCAGGAACCACAAAATCTTCGCTATGGGGAGGAATACTAACATGTGGATTTAGCAGCCAATTCAAAACAGAGGGCTGCAAATTTGTAAGTGGGCGTTTCCACCTGATCTAACAGTAAATCCCAGGATGACCATTATCAAAGTCCTGGAGCTGAGTATTTGCGAATGAAACGGTCAATAGCAACTTTACACCATCCGGTGTATGGTGCTTGCGTAATTTTGATTTGAATGTCGATAACTTAGGCGATGTCGTAAGTTCTGGTGGAAGATCATTCCAAAAGAAGACACATCTGGATGCAAAATGGGGAGCGTTTGGATGTAGTGTAAAGGGACGGCGGAATCACCACGGAGAAGTTACGAGTTGAAGTTTCAATGCGTGGAGGATCGAAGCTCTAGTTAATGCGAAAAAGGGAGTAAAGGCCAGCTTCCTGTCTTCTAATCCACAAAAACTTTATGTTCCTCAGCTGGCATCTCTGAGTATAAGAAATACCGGATGAAGCTTGAGGTAAGAGTGAAAAACCTTTGAACATTTTTATTTTATTATGGTCACAGGCGTTCAGTACACCAATAAAAGGCCAATAGTACTGGAGGACAGAAAGAACAAACATTTGATAAAGTCTTAGCTTCATTTCTGGGAGAAAAAATAATACGATATGAATCCACATATCTGCGCTGATTTGGCAGAGATTCTATCTGCATGAGGTGATAAAGTAAGCTTGTTCGTAAAACATAAGCCTTGGTCCTTTGTGGTGAGATATTCTGAGAGTGGATTATTCTGACAAATTATGGGACCAGGAAGTTTGGTAGAACCAAAAGACATGATATATTGTGCTCATCCGCAGCTACATTCTTTGGGCGTAAACGGATGCTTTCTCCATGGTTTATAAGCCAATTTTGATAAATAAGCTCCTTTAAATTCCAAACAAGGTACAATAAGTGGTGCTTTTGGAACATATCTTTCGATGCAAATACGCTTCAAAAGGCTTCAATCCAGAGGGGGCTCTGGCCCCGCCCAGCCCCCTCCAGCCCCGCCTATGAAGGAGCCATGTGCTGGCAGGCGGGGCTCTGGCCCCACCCAGCCCCTTCCAGCCCCGCCTATGAAGGGGCAATGTGCTGGCAGGGTATGCTGCCGACATAAAAATATCGAATGTAATCCGGGACCCTGCCGACGAAAATAAACTACAGATTAACCCAAATCAGTTGGAAAAATGGTCAGATCATTGACTCATGCGGTTCAGTGTCGGGAGTTGTGCTTTGCTTCGATCAGACTATTTCGCTATATCCGTCGGCGCAAGAAGCTACTTTCTCAATGATGCAGCATTGCGAGACTTGGAAGCCCAAAAGGACCTTGACTGCTGATAACGAATTTCTTTAAACGATTCACTCATTTCTCTAGAGTGGCAAAATTGCAATGTCCGTTTTGCACGCTTTTAAGCGAGCATTTATAGATTTTGATGATGATCTCCTTTCCAGGATATCCGGAACATTCGAGAGACCGCATTTGGAATACAGCATATAAGCCTGGAGACCATTGGTGGTTCAAGATCTAAATATTCTTGGGAGTATCGCAAGGAGAGTAGTGGGAATTGTTAGGGTTCAAAGCTTATTTCCCTATGCAATCCGCCTAACACACATGACCCTCTTTCTTTCGAGCTATGGGCGACTGCTCAGGTTCTTTTTCAAACATTCCGCATAATCGAGGAATCGCATTTCAGCCTGGACGTTGAGGAATTTTCTTACATATTCCACCACGACCAAACTCCGAGGTCACTCATTAAAATTACGCGTTCAGCAGGTAATATTGGATGTACTGGAATTCTCCTTTTCCGTTAGAGTGGTCAAACCATGGAATGCTCTGTCTGAAGATTTTGAAATGTCACCATCCATGGAAAGCTTTGAAGGAAATCTTGATAATTTTTTTGTCCTGAAATGAGGAAGAACTGTAAAGAGTGGAGATCAACCTTCGAGACCCACGCTGAGTTTTTCATACTATTATGGAGCCATCTGAACAATTTCAGCATACATGTTTTCTCTGTTCACCGCGCTCAATTTCACGTTGCAACCAGGACACTTAAAGGCTTACGCCTATTTCTCTCAATTAACTGAACTGGAAATCCATGAATTCACAATACCTAGCCATTCTGGTGACATACATCGAAGAGAACAAACGTAAGTACTGATGCCTTATGTGACTGGCTCTGGCGCAAGCGAACCAAGCTTCCGGCAGACAGAAGTTTGTAACTATGAGCTTTGACATTCACTGTTCCCATGCCCATTTCCAGTTTTCCTAACTTTATCTTGTCGTCGAAGGTTTTTTTTTGGGGGAAACAGAAAGCAAAGGAGGTGCAGATGAAGTCCGTTAGCATAAATGAATTAACGCGAAATTCACTGCTGATCCCACAATGTGGGGCAATGTTGGACCTTTTTATGCCCGTTGGTTTAACCATGCGTATGTGACACTGCAAATGAGTTCAGAGTCGAGAGACTAACTCTGTCCCTCTCACTCAGTATAATAACAGTTCTATTTAGTGTCCTAAGGAGTATTAATAGAGTTTAAAGGTTAGGAACATTCTAAGCGCGAAAAAAATACACTAGTTCGATAAATGCAATTTATCCGGACTGTAACTGTTATATTGGACACTCAGTTAGAGGCCGTGTTGTAAGAGAGCAGGCGATGAGCATAAAATATTGATGGGGATCGGAAATTCTGTCCTGCTGTCCAAAAATTATCAGTTTCGAGCTGCTATCTATTTTATTAGGTGGTCAGCATATTTACTCATAATATCCGTGTTTTTACCTCAGTTTTCGAACATTATTCGCTGTTTTCCCGTAGTCATACCCATGAAGCCCCTTTTACTGCGCCTCTCACATATCGGACGCGCCTGGGTTTCCCCATATCCCAACAGGACCGCGTCTCCGAGCCTTGTCAAAATATTTTCCCGCAGTATAAAATAAACACGAATGGTAAGGATTTTTATTAGAAAAAAGCCTGCGCTGGACTGGGCCACCATGATTTTCTAAACATAGGTGCATCCAAACTGTCTGTTACATCCAGCTTCTTCTTATCTTCTGTAGGCTTCAGACCGTCGGTTCCCTCACAGTTTTTCATTGGACGGCCAACTGAGAAAGGTTATCCACTGGATTGATAATGTGACTCCGTATAATTACTGACACAGTACTCAAACAGTCCCTGCCAGCACCAGCCCCGCCTGGCCCCCTCAATAATGGCGGGGCTAGAGGGGGCTATGAGGGGGCTAGGCGGGGCTGTAGAGGGGGCTGTGGCGGGGCATGCAACGCGATAGCCCCGCCTAGCCCCGCCAGCGAAAAAAATGGGCAGGGGACGCCACATCCCAGCCCACTTTTGGCACCACTTTAAAATATCGTCCTGTATACCGAGTCCCTGAGGCGCAGTGCCTCACTGTTCCCACATGTTACATGTCGAAACCCACCCTGCGTACGTAGAGTACTACGGTATTACATAGTACTCACAGGGACACCGCCGTACATGGACCCACTAATCAGCAGCCAATATCAAATACACGCGACGCAAATTCATGTGAGTGAGTTATTTATTGTATAAACGAAAAAGGAATTGGAAAACATGTACAATCATAAGAAATGTCAGTGCCAGTATATACATGGACTTCAACATATGTTATGCCATTCAGTTGGGCGTTCCAGAAGTCCCCGCATCGACGGCTGGTTCCTATAATTGAAGAAAAACAATTGTTTGGAAGACACATGGTCGACGGAAGGGAAGTAATACTTTAAAATTTAAATGACAATTTTCACACTAATTAAGTTCACAGTAGCAGCATGAATAATTAACCGTAAATATGTAAATTTCCTATAATGGTAATTACCGTCTCTTCAGATGGAGGCAGTGTGGGGCAACGTGTATCATCGCTAGTCCCTCCAATTGCCTTCTGGCGTTTAGCCCGGCCGCCATACCGGTCCCTCGATCCATGAAACCAATCAATAACAGTCTTGCGAACCATTTCGTGGCCGCAATCACCAAAGATAGGGTTCAAGCGAATGGCATCTGAAGTGTTAACAAATGAGGAAAGCTTACCACATAGGAGTGCATATAATGGACTACCGACAAAGGATTGTTTTCCCACTGAGCCACTCCAACAGTAGTCACGGCAAAGGGGTGGTCCTAGCAATTTACTGAGGATATTCCTCACAAACTCTTTGTTGTTACGCCCGCCAACTGAAACAAGTTGTTTCATCTATAACTCGTGGAGAGTAAATAAAGCTGCATATTTACATACCACTTCTTCCCGAAAATCGGCATCACGGTTTAGCTTCCCTTCGAAGTCTTCGTAGGCGTCCTTCGTGCATAGCGGCAAGGGCAGTGCGGGAGGCCTTTGACCGACAAGGACGGTGGAGGCATGTATTTGCCCAAGTTTTTCAACCATGAGGGCGCAATGTTGTCGAAATTCCTCATGATGGACCGTCTGATTATAGACTAATTTGTCTAATTTTTTACTAAACAAATCTAATCCAACGGTATACAACATGCCCTTACCGCACAGATTTCAATTCCCTTTGTATTGATTTTAATATTTCACTCTGCGCCACAGAAGCATCCTTTTCCGTTTGCAGTCTGAAATGGATAATAAATATAACCTGCTTACTGAAGTGAGGGGACTACTGAAGGTGAAAACCTGCCCCATCCGGCCGAGGAAGTAGGTATGTTTTCTTCAAGTCTTGGCCTACAAACCATCAGACTTACTGCAATTTACTGAAGTATGGGTGGTGGCGACGGCCAGCCAGCTAGCGGCCTTACAGGCTGTCGTTCCGCTATGTTCTCGTCCTCATCATCCTCCGAATCAGAGGTTAATCTGCGGAAAAATCTACAAAAAAATTTTCATTTACAAGTAAAACCTACTTCTTTCTAAAGCCTCGACCCAACTCCGTGGGCTCCGAAAAGGAGAGGTCCGACGTGTCCTCGGCCCTATGTATCAGCCGCCGGGCCGCATCCAGAGTCAGGTTGTCCTTTAAAATCCTGACAGGATATACTTTCGTCCCACTCGGCGGTGGCTCATTCCTTTCGAGAAGAATGTTTCGTCGTCTGTCATTTTTCAGCCACATAACGCAGTTCTTATCATAGAACCACGCCTTGGCTACGACGTCGACCGACTTGTCATTGATGAACTCAACAACGGAGTACATCTTACACTTGCATTTTACCAGTCATTTAGCGTCAGGGTTTGGAAATCATAAATGAAAAAAATCACTGTGCAGTAAATATGTGTAAAAGGGGGATTAGGTAGAAATCGTCGTCAGTTTGGAAGGCAACAAATTTACAGACAATGTCCGCAAGGGTAGCTATTGAGGGAATGTTTTCCAAAACCGATGCTTTAAACATGAACAACGTGGAAGACGAAAAAGATGTGGTAAATAAGTCCCTGCAATCCAAAAAAGGGCGATACTCAATTCTGTCAGCCGAAACTGACGTCAATACACACGGCCTGTTTCCAATCAGTACTACGTTATTCGGCGCTGTAGTCGACAAGACGTATCCATTGTGTAAAACGGCACCGGAACTGCGGGGCAAGTGAAAAGGCCGTGCTACTCCATCATCGTCGTCCAGCAGCATTAAAGATGCTGGCAAATCAGGCAAGCGTCTTTTTATAAACCGCCTGTACACCTGGACGGCTATGTTTGTCGGCCCTTTTATGGTGTAGCGAACTGTTTGCAAAAAGGACTCGAAGGGGAACGCAGAAAACCTATCCAACACTCCAAAACGACTTACGTCTTCATGGAGGTGAAGGAGGCAATGTACGTTATATACAATGTCTGCTGGACTGTACAATTGGGGAAAATCAGTAACAAAATTGTTTAACATGAGACGGGCAAAGTCAATCCAGGATGTATGTAAAGTTGGGTGGCAAAATATGTAAATGGCAACGCTCAGTAACAAAAAGTGGTTATAACGGGTGATATCAAGAACGGGGGATAAAACGGTAGGGCCTATGTACAGTAAGAATTGTCGGTATTCGGCAGCCTTCCAATATTCGAGAGAGTCAAGAGATCTGCACATGCGAGAAAACTCCGCCGGCAAACACCGACTGCATCTCTCGATGGAGGCATTAAGTCGGGCAGATAACCTTGGCCCCAGTCGCCACAAGTGAATCAACTTCCGCATCACACCCAGACAGACAAGGTGCATGTAGTCGATTGGAAATGAGGCTACCGTGTCGATTGGTAAATCCTCAAAAGGCGACCTGCCCTTGTGGTGCAGTGCCTGGGTTCGCAATCGAAATGACCTGTCGTCTCGCAACCGGCCAGTGTACGTGGGGAATGTCATGCGGTTGGCAACGGGGCGCCCAACATGACAGCACCTACCGTGACTGCCGTTATTTGTGCGAAACAACATACCTGTCGCATCCGTAATAACCATTATGCGCTTTCACTTACCTGATGTAAGATCGAGCGGGCGTATCACAGATGACATTCTCTAGGGCTACCTTTATAACCTTTCCTGTCGACGGGGAGCACAGGCCAGTAGCAAGTAATCCCTTCAGTTCCATTATACAGTCATGTAAGAAGTCTTCCAGAGGCTCTGGCTTACTAGATCCGGAAAAAACGCCGACAACAAAGGGTTCTCCAACTACCGGATGGCTAATACGACTTAGTATTGGCCATAGGCACTGGTTGGACCCCTTAAAAACTTTAATTGCGTCGATGTGCACTTGAATGCGCATGTCGGAAATACTGGTTCTCGAACGAAGACGAAGCTCATGAAGCAAACCGTCTGTGAGACCCAAGTGAACGTAGGTGCCGTTACTCAGACGCTTCTTATTGCACGCTCGAGGCGTTCGCAATAGCGTCCGTGGGTCCTTAGGTACTTCCGGATGGAAATGCCGTAACATATTAAATAACTTCTTTGTATTAGACAAAGGCATTTGCACTTCCAGGGCGTATTCTTTCAAGGCCTCCAGAAAGGACTTGCCTCCAACTGCGTTTGTGTCGTCCATGTCTTCCACGGACTCTGCACCCATTATTCGTTTACACGCTCATAATACCTACCAGCGGAAGTCTCAGAGTTCAGTATAGGCATTTCTGGTTCGGGAGATTGATTGCCAACTGCCGTCGACGTTGACGGAACCTCAGGCTCAGGCTCTTCAGTGGCCTCATAGTATGCCTTCATCTGGCGCTTAATGCGCCTGTATATGGTGCTCCGGTGATAGCCAGAGTGATTACGCTTCATAATTGCTTTGGATATTCAGTAAGAAACGATAAACAATTTGTATAAGTGGACTACGAACACCAAGGCTAAATAGTACATACATAGAAATACAAGTCCACTACTTGAACTGGCTGGTGAGTAGATACCCAAACAATTAGCATAATATACATAAATTAACTAAGACAGATATCAAGAGCACGAAAGCAGCATTGGTTGACTCACGATATTATCTGCAACCGATTGTCAAATATACGAATTAATAGCACACACAGATTGTAAACCGGTGAACAAATAAGAGTTTACGCAATGAGGGACTTAAGCAAAACCTCAGTATATTGTGCTCATCCGCAGCTACATTCTTTGGGCGTAAACGGATGCTTTCTCCATGGTTTATAAGCCAATTTTGATAAATAAGCTCCTTTAACTTCCAAAGAAGGTACAATAAGTGGTGCTTTTGGAACATATCTTTCGATGCAAATACGCTTCAAAAGGCTTCAATCCAGAGGGGGCTCTGGCCCCGCCCAGCCCCCTCCAGCCCCGCCTATGAAGGAGCCATGTGCTGGCAGGCGGGGCTCTGGCCCCACCCAGCCCCTTCCAGCCCCGCCTATGAAGGGGCCATGTGCTGGCAGGGGTCAGTGGTCTGCAGGAATGATAAGGAGGACAGTTTATTGAAATGTAATGATAATAGACAGGGAAGGGAGATTATAAAGATAAGGCAAAATCCTCAATTAAAGTTGATCAGGAGAATTTTCTCGGACGGAGAAATCTCGATCAGTATCCGGCTGGCCCAAAGGGAACGTAGAGTTGGAGACTGATGCAGGGGCGGGACGCGGTCTCTGACAATTGGCCTTTTGTAACTCAAAAACACACCAGTTTGTTCTTTCCTCTCTTAAATCAAAACGAAACTCACCTTCGTAAAACAAAAAGAAAGATCAGTTCACTTCTGCCGTACCACACACCCGTCGTCGAGCAGGGGGATAATATAATGGAAAATAAGTGAAGCATAAGCACAGCACAGAACGGAGGCTGCAGTCATTCCTTCTCAAGCACAATGAAATCCACAGACCAGAAGGCGAGCGGGAGGCCCGGTCGCCGGCATTATCGGTTTGGTTGAAGGAGGAACGGAGGGAAAGGTCAAGAGTCGCGAAGATCATTGTTGCAGGGGAAGATAAATGCAGTTTGGTGACAAAGGAACAGCGTGGAGATTTGCTATTTTTGACTGGAAATTTCCGAATTAGAGTGATACAAACAACAAATAACTCTTAAATTCAACGAGAGCCTTTTTGAAGTCGAAAAGATAACAGTCTGGAAAGGAATCAGACAATGAACAGTACATAGAGTCTAAAGTAAAGTGTTCCTGCAGTTTTATTTTGAACAAGGACACACCGGATGGCGGCCCAACACAAAGTTGAAAATTATTTCCGCAAAATACCTACGTAGCAAAGAAGACGCTGATAGCATCAGAGGGAAGTATTATAATGCTGACCCACTGGTGTGAGGAAGTCAAGCCGCGGCCAACTGAGAATAGAAGACAAGAGAAATAGGATGCAAAGACCAACATCCTGGCTTCCAGCCTATAGAAATCCACGGTTAATTAATTGGTGACTTTCGGTATGATAAGAACTAGATTCAGCATGAAAGAAGAGCCTTCGAGCAATACATATCCGGGCATTTTCGACTATACCATGGTTACAGGCACTAAGTGGACCAAAGAAAAAGAAATAACATTTTAAGATGGGAAGAACAGACGTGTAGTAAGATCAGGATTTTATTTCTCAGAGGACAAAGCCGTGCTATGCGAAAGTAATTAACTAGGTAGCTCTTGAAGAAATTCTATCTAATTCATATTGACCCAAGTGTGGGAAACTCGATGCCTCGGTGGGATTCGAACCCACGACAGCAAAGGGAAAGGCTTTAGTACAGCCAACACTCCAGCCACCTGAGCTAAGAGACCTCACCGGAAGACGTGAGTTTAATCACATTTGGGTCAAGTTACCCTCCAAGCCTACTGCAGCGTCTAGAATCCACCAAATCTGATACAATAAACTAACTGCCCAAGCGGAATTTCCTGAGTAATCCACCTAGAATCCACCGGGTGACTACCAGGCTCACGTAGTTCATATCTGCTTTGGCAGAATTTTGGAAAATTCTATTTACATGACCTGAGAAATCTAGTTTATTCCTATATCTAATGCCTTGGTCAATAATGGTTGGGCATTCTGTCAATGAATTATTATGAAAGATTGGGGAATTGGAAAGTCCGAGTAAACGAAAATACACGAAACTACAGTAGGTAATCTAACTCATGAAAGGTGTCGAAATTCACGATCTGCTAACATGACTTCTATAATTCGAGAAAACCTTTGTGTTAACAGGTTGATTCCCAAGGTTAGCATCGGAGAAAAAATAAATTTTCAAGTCCGACAACCTTTTTCTATAAAAACTCTCGAGCGCAAACTTTTCTCCCTTCAAAGGAAAACCCACTCAGATGCGAAACCGAAGTCTAGGACAGGTACTAGCCTACGAACTTGCCCGAGTATAACGCGACGTCCATTTTCATCCAAATTTGTGGACACTTTTCTTGATAAACTTACACGAACACAATTTCTGCATACGAAAAGGATATTTTCTTGAAAGGGCTGGATGAGCAAGCAAAATGTGCAACGTTTAAGACGTTCAACAATTCTCACATCATTTTCCGCCCTCACGTTTCCTGAGATAGGTCACGTACTGTACATCTACTTTTTATAAATTCTCCTCAGATCTGCGCATATATATTGCTAATGTAATAATGAATAAAAAGATTCCAGCAGGGAGATAATTATGCTGCAGCTCGGGTTTGGGGGGGGGAGGGGGAAGGGGAGTGAAACACCAGAATTCCAATCAGCGTCAGGGGGGGGGGTGGGCAACGGGAAAGGTAATTATATGCGGGCAGTTGACTTGATGCCTTTGGCCCATGTCATTTGTGGGACCTGTATGAAGTTCTTCCATGCGCACAGGGCTGGTTTGCATAACCCGACTGCGGCCGCCACTGCCGCAGCCAACAGACTCTGTCCAAGGGGTTTTGGATGTCTTGACAGAATCCTGCAAATCACTCGGAAGGCCTATCTGGCATCTACAAGGTGGTCTGCGTGTGCTATTTGCTCGAGGGTAGAGCTGATAACGTTTTTTTTATTTGGCTCTTTCCTAAGCGTGCTGAAAGATGTTCTTATATTCCATTGGATAAACGCCGACTGCTGAGACCCATATACTCTGTTCCGCTGAGGCATGCGAAAGACTAAATACACACAAAGGTGTTCTCCGCCAGCAGTTTGTCCCTGCCCTCTCCGTAAAGGATGGGGTTGGTGAGGAAGTCTACACGGGCCTCAGCTACTGGAAAGGTGTGAGATACAGTTTGAATTAGACGCCTTCTTAAAAGTTCAGTCTACAAGTCTCCATGACCTGGGACCCTGATGGGGATAGCATCGTAACACCATCTTCCAGCACAATTGAGCGGTGAGCATTGCACCATCGTTTGCCTCAGCCGTTAATACGGAAACTTCATCTCCTCCTCAAAAAACCGCAGTCCTTGTCGGAAGGCGGTGTCATCAAATTTGGACATAGAAACGAGAATGAGTATTTGAAACCAGTTGGACAAGCGACCTTCGGCAGTAAAGGGGTCGGAAAAATGACCTGTTCACGTTGAAAGACACCCTGGCATCATGACATGGCTACTTTGCAAATAACAGATTGAACAAAGGAGAGGGCTGCTGTTTGAGTTGGTAAAAAGCAGGTTCCGGAGACTTGGGCTTGAAACGTTTACACGAACACAATTTCTGCATAAGAAAAGGACATTTTCTTGAAGGGGCTGGATGAGCAAGCAAAATGCGCACCATTTAAGACGTCCAGAAATTCTCATATCAGTTTCCGTCATCAGGTTTCATGAGATAGGTCACGTACTGTTTACTGAAACGATGCTTTATAAGTCCTCGGCTTATCTTACTTGTCGTTATGATCTGCCAACTTGAATGTTACATATTCTCGCAGATAGCCTGCTGCTTTCCAACAATAAGTAGTACAGTGAGTGACTGAGCTCATGAAATGCTCGCTGAAATTCCGAAATTCGTTTTCGATTAGGAAGGATTACTTAGGCGCGGTTGTAATGCTGATTATCTTGCAACATTATCCTATAATATCTCGAACTCGGCAGGATGTGGGCTTTTGAATGCACTGCTTTACAATCTATAGAACACGTACTCGGTGACAAATGACTACTTAAGTAGCATTCATTTTTGACACTGATTCTCGGTAGTCTTGCAAATTAAAACAAATTTTATAGAAGCTACTAACAAGAATATGTTTTCTTTCAGTCGTTTGATAGAGAATCACGTCATCTTTATATTCTATACTCGAAGGATGAATATAATTAGGTGTTAAAACTTTCTTATTACGAAATTTGTTAAGACCTTGCAGTGTCTATTCATACAGTATCGTGCCTGTCCTTTTACCACTGTCACACATGAAATATACAACAGAGCGCATCCATCGCAAAATTTTATGGACCACATATGGTATCTTTCTAAAGGCATATAAGTATGTGTGATTTTCCTAACGCGGATCTCATGCACCCAGTAGACTGACATCACTAAGCATTAATGTAACGACTGACCAGGCTCCACATTATTCGGGAATAAGAAAACTTTTTAAAGCCTAATTATAATCTTTTGAGTAAAAACCATGAATAAAACGTGGATCTCCATCAAACGTCTGAAGGAAAGCATGTTCTTGTTCGTAGTTTCTATAAAATTTGTTTGAATTTGCAAGACTACCGAAAATCAGTGTGAAAAACGCATGCTACTGAAGTAGCTTTTTTTTACCGAGCACGTACTCTATAGGAGATGGAAAAACATTGCATATAAAAGCCCACATCCCGCTAAGTTCGAAATATTTTAGGATTATGCTGTAAGATAGTCAGCATTACAACTGCGCCTAAGTAATCCTTCCTAATCAAAAACGCATTTCAGAATTTCTGCCAACATTTC